TGTTACCCATGTCTCCCTGACACATTTAGTCCTGTTTTTGTCAGGAGTCTCCCAGGAACAGTGCTGGAGAACAGGATGGTAGGAAACAGTGGCCTGCAAGCAGGTGCTGGATGCCTCCTGAGATGATATGAACTTGGTCACATCCAGCTGTGCAGAGAGGAACCTCAGCATTTCTGCTGAGGTTAAAGGAAACATCTCAGTTTAATTGCATAAAAAGATAAACGCACACAAACAGAAACACAGACGGTCACTTACGCTGTCATTACTTGGTCTTCTCCTCTGATCCAGTGGCAGACAGGAGATCCAGAGAGGAACTCCAGGGAGATGATGAGTTTCTTACCCACAGCCAACTCTTTGCTGATGGGACGGATTCAGATAATCAGATGGTAGCAAACATACTGCCTGAAAAACCAGAGCCAACATTTAACCTTCCTTCATTAAGGAACAGTGAAATAATCACTGGTGGAAAGATCTCTAATTCAATGCCATACTGTATCAGTTTGAGTTATGACTGTTCAACAGGGGCTTATCAAACAATTCAGTGTTTAGTTAAAACAGCTCTTACCTCATGACTGGATACACAGACTGGAGTCTTCACATCATCAGAGCAGAGCACTCCAACAGCACACAGCAGCAGAACAGCTGGAGAGATAGAAAACTGAATCTTGTAGTTGGTAATTGTTTGTAGTTCTTTATTGTAGTTAATAATCTTGTAATAGTTGAAACTATTATTGAAACATCTAAGTAAATTTAGAAACATCAGTGGGAAAAACCACATAAAGAAAAAAAATAAATGCATCACTAAGACAAAATTGTTCTTCTCAGTCATAAGTATGCACAATAATCATTATGGTGTTTTTTTTAATGTTAAACTAAAAATTCAAAACAATTCAGAAACCAATAAAGTTTCAGTATAAACTGTGTTATTACTGGGACACATACATTATTTCTCATGTTTAAGCATCATATACTGCACAACTGCATGAAGAATGAAGAACACAAATCAGTTCCTCACAATAGGCCTATCTCAGGTTCTTAGACTGTATTTCTGCAGGACAGCTGAGTGTTATTGACAAAATGCTTCATAACTCAACATTTAGCTCCGACCAACTACAAAACTCTTGATTGCAAGTCTGTGATTACCATCAATTCTGAGGAACCTTTAAATACTCTGACTTACCTGCAGTCATGTTTCTCTGCCTCCAAATTTTCATTCTCGCACACCAAAGGGAAAATTTGTTGCTGCAACAGCGCCACCTACAGGGAAATTTAACCCCGAGGAGATTAAATAGGTTAATCACCATGATGGTGTCCAGACATGCCAGGCAGGAGACTTAATTCCCAAATGTTTGAATATAAAAACTATCATGTTAACCATATAGTAAACACAATATTTTTTTAAAACAAATATATGTGAAGTATTACTCAAAAAAGTCTGAGCATTCAAAGGTCATTTACACTCCCACCAAATCACAAGTGTTCTAACAAAAAACAGAAATATAACACTAATGATTTTAAACATAAAATGACCTTTAACCACAAGGCGTTTTACACACTGGAAATAGAATTATTTATGCAGATAAAGTCCACACATAAAGTCTTCATACAGTAAAAACTATAGTCATGGTGTTAAACAGCCTCTAAGAGCAAGATCAGTCTTCAGCTTGCCAGAATGTTGTCCCTCCTTTCTCATTATCATTCTCAAGTCCATCTTAATCAGTAACTGTTTCTACAACTATGGCTAATCTCCACTCAGTCCGTGAAAGATCATCTCCCCTTTTGATGACTATGTGACCAGCTTTCAGATCACTTCTAGAAACACGCCAGCATTGTCTAGTTGCAATTCTCCTCCAGCAGGGCCAGAATTGCTCTGCTAGATACTGAATGTGACACCACCTCTTAGAAGTATGCATGTGAGCCTTCAGTTTTCAGGCCCCTCTTCTGTGGAACCAGCTTCCAGTTTGGATTTGGGAGACAAACACTATCTCTACTTTTAAGATTAGGCTTAAAACTTTCCTTTTTGGTAAAGCATATAGTTAGGGCTGGACCAGGTGACCCTGAATCCTCCCTTAGTTATGCTGACTCATATCTGTTATTAATCTCTGTCTCTCTTCCACAGCATGTCTTTATATTGTTTTCTTTCCCTCACCCCAACCGGTCGCAGCAGATGGCCGCCCCTCCCTGAGCCTGGTTCTGCCAGAGGTTTCTTCCTGTTAAAAGGGAGTTTTTCCTTCCCACTGTCGCCAAAGTGCTTGCTCATAGGGGGCCATATGATTGTTGGGCTTTACTCTGTATCTATTATTGTACGATCTACTGTACAATATAAAGTGCCTTGAGGCGACTGTTGTTGTGATTTGGCGCGATATAAATAAAATTGAATTGAATGTCCTCTCTGATGGTGTTGGATTCCAGGTGGTAAGACTCCAGTGTGTTTCATGGTTTCATGGTATGTGATTGGGAGTAAGTGGTTCAGGACCATCTGCATCATTTAGGCTATCCACAGTGAGTAGACGACTGTCCACAATAGACACTGGCATCATCCAATCTTTCACGTGAGGGTGGAAGATTGGATGGAAGTACATTCCTTCCTATTCTGATCTGTCTCTCCCACACACCTCCTACATGGCTTGAATGGAGAGCATTCATAATGAAGTTAATCTGATCTGGATAAGAGACAGAAATGTGCAGTCTGCACATTTAGTGTTTGAACCTTTTTAACTTCAGGTCACCCAAGTGAGATTTCTGGGATTACCTCTGCAGGTGGAGGCACTGTTTTCTCCCATAGGAACTTGGGTCCAGTAAACCAGTTTTATGTGAGAAGCTTGCTTGCACTTGAACCTCCAGAAGCAAAGTCTACAGGATTCTTGTTAGTGGAGACATATCGCCTCTGCTGAGTAGTTGTACTGAGATGAGTTTTCTGAATCCTATTCAATACAAATATGTGAAAACGACATGGTTTGTTGTTGCTGTACCCTAGTACAACCTTAGAGTCTGTACAGAAATATTAATCAATCCCTGAAATTCCACGTTCTTCCTTTAGAGCAGTGCTTGCTGCGATGGACACAACAGCAGCAGTCAGCTCTAACCTGGGGATTGTCACAGCCTTAAATGTAGCTCCAGTGGACTTTGACACGACCAGATCACAATTAAGAGATCCATTTTCATTCACGTGTCTCAAATATTAACACTGGCCATAACCATTTGATCTTTCCAAAGTCAGCTGATGCATAGCAGTGAGGCATGTGATTTTCTCTAAATGCCAGATCACTCTTCCAGCATCTTCAGACTGGTTGAGGTTAACTGATGAGTGGGACATCCCAGCCTGTGAAATGCCTACAATTTCTTGAAACACCCTTTTCCCAGTTAGCAGGAAAGGAGCAACACGCCCTAATGATTCATGAGAAGAAGCAGCTGTGGAGAGTGTGCCACGTCGGGTTTCTGGTTGATCCTCCAGAAAGGTATGGAAACTGAAACTGTCTGATTCAATGTCCATGTGGGTTCTTAAGGCTCTTCACAGTGATGGATCATTAAAGATGAGATCAAGAGCCTTTTGTTCAGTTGCACGCTCAGATGGTTTTACGCTCAAGCACTACGACTATGCACAACTTTGCGTAGTCACAGTAAACCCATAGCACAGAACTTTTGGGCTTTTTTTGCAAGCTGAATAGCTTCATCTACATCTGCTATGCTTGTGACAATGTCATCAACATAGAAGTCTCTCATAATGAACTGTGAGCCTGGAAGACACGCTCTCACTCTCCTTAGCAAGATGATTTAAGACGTAGTTAGCACATCCAGTTGAAGATGCAACACTGAAAAGGTAAACTTTCATGCAGAATTTTTTTACATCTTTATTTCCATCTTCGCACACTCACAGTGAACACCACAAAGGAAAATACAAGTAATTACTTACAGCTTAATCTTAGAAATAAATGTTTGATTACAAGACAGAGTCTGAAAGAAAAAAAATGTAATCTAGTTAATCAGCTTAAAAGATCCTGATAGAACTAGCTGGCCACAAAGCAAAACAAAACATACTCAAGGTCGTATTGTACACATCTATGTAACACTGACTGTGCCATTTCCAAATTAAATGATTAAATGATCTGCAAAAGATGGAAAATTATCCCAGTGTGCCTCTCTGTCGTAAATGGACACTACACTGTTTCACTTACCATAGGAATCCTCAATCAGGAGGATCTTTCCGAGGTAACATGAGAAAATGCACAGATGCTGCCCATAGGCTGCCTGACTGAAATCTTGTAATTCAAGAAATATTCCAACACTGAGCACATAGTGGCTGTCCTGGCTGTCCAACGACAGGAAATAGTTTCAGTGTGTGTATCTGTCCCTCCTAAATGGAAGTAGCATTGTTTTGCTTCGTGTTGCAATACTGATCAAATTTCAGCTGTTCAGTCGGGAGCATCTATGTGAATGTTAATATGGAAATCCTGTCCAGAGCCTGTCAACAGTCAAGAGTGGAAATATTTCTGCCTGCTAAAAATGTCTATGCTCGCCTAGTTATTTATTTATTTATTTAAAAATGTATTTACTTTAAACTGAATGAATGAGTCCCTCTTAATGCTAGAGTCACTTTTATGGTCTGCCTTTTAATGTGGTTCAAGGATCATTTTGAGTGATGGGTTCATGATTTGTTGATACTGAGTTGAGAACATTCAATAAAATCAGTAATCAGAAGAATCTGATCCTTTTGTAAATTCTGTTGAATTTTATAGTGTCTGTTAGGCCAAGCTCATCTTGACTAGGAGTCATTATTCATTTGTTCTACTGTGATTTTATGATTGATTTATTCCTTTGTTTTGCTGCGTAGGAGCGATGGGCTGAGCCAGCATATCCTTCCCTTTGTGATGAGTCTGTCAGGATCTGCTGCCCTGGTGAGCTGTATCGCTTCGCCTTTATCCCCTGTCATCACAGGCAGCAGCTTCGACCTTTAGCATTATATGAAACACTTACAAATATTTTAAACTTTAACCTAAATTCATCCTGACTTGTCATCTTTAAAGTGAATAAGGTGGTATATATTTTTGGAATTACATCTCCTGGTTAACTTTTGGATTTCCTAAAATTCCCCAAGGTGGCGCTGTGGCAACACAAACCTCTACGTTTGTGTCTTCCATGTAGTGGTGCTTTGAGCAGTGGACTCCTGTCTATAGCTGCTGTGCTTGAGGATTCACATTCAGCTTTATTGTAACATTACAGATTTTAAAAAGTAAAAAGTGTCTGAAAAAACTTTTGTTACAGAGCTCCACAAAATAAGATACCATATTTTAGATATGTGTAAAACTCGAAAATAAAAGTGCACATGTCTGGCAAAAGAGAAAATAAATAAATAAGTAAACTCTCTGATGAGCGTTGCATTCCTCTACAGTGCAGCTTCCAAACCTGATGATACAGCAGGATACTTTGAATGGAGCTGCTGTGCAAGGACCTCAGAAAGCTGGGGCTCTTAAACTCACTGACCTGCTCCACTGGAGCTCAGTTGATGTAAAAACGGGCATGCTCTTCCCTATTCACCCTGAAACCCACAGTCAGCTCCTCAGTCTTGTTTACAATCAGGGCAAGGTTGTTAAGAAAAACACTATTCTGTCAGAAGGCTGATGATCATGCTGATGCATGATTTTTCCAACAAATCTTAATTTGTAAAGTCAGGCACAGTTTGTTTTCACTCTGAATGTGTTGTACTCTAGTATAACACAAAACCATTAAAGAGAAAAATAAAATTTGTATATATAAAAAGTATTTTCCTGTGAAATGCTTATGAAAAAAATTCTGATTGTTATTTCTTTGACAAGACTCGAATAAAACAGCTGAGGAAACACCAGGCATGGCCAAATTAGTTTCTTTATTTAAAGTACATTTTATTGCAGGTGTAATGCTGGAAGATAAAATGTTGTAGATAAAATGTAACATAGTGTAAAAGTTCCAGTAAAATATATAAAGAAAGTTTATTATGAAAAAAATAAATGTGTACAAAAAATATAATGCTTGCATTCCCTGCTGGCGTATAAATGTATTGAAAAAAACATAGACGTTACATTGCCATGTATAACAATGTAATATATGCAACATGTAATAAATTCCTGAGTCTTCATATAAACGTAATGGAGAATTCTTTTTTCCATAGCTACATCTCTAAAGTACATTCCTCTGAATATTTTAGTTTCATAATTGTATTTTGTAGCTGCACAATAAAAACTGCACAAAATAAAAAAAAATTTTGTAAAATAACATAATTTAGCAAAACTGCTCGCTATCCTTGAATATAATATAAAGCAAGTACATTCTACTCTAAAATCTTAGGTTAGTACCATTTTATCAGTATTGTTATGCAAGCTGTTGGATATACGGATAAAAATAAAGGTATAAAGGCGATCACTCTGCATCGGATGGTTTCAGAAGCTCCTTCTCAGCTGCCACAGTGTCTCCGGCACATGTTTCTGCTCTCTTTTCTTCAGTGGCACAGGTTTGACAGTAGTCATTGGTGGCCTGGGTTTTCTTTTCTTCGCTTGCTTTGGTCAAGGCAGACATGTCAACGATGGTCGACGCATTCTGGTAGTCGCTGCAAGTCTGATTGATTGTGTTTTGGTAGAGCTGAAAAAGTGAATGCTGATAGTGATTACGCTGCTACATTCAAATATATGTTTGAGTATAATTTAACACAAATATTGAGATTTTCTTTAAGGCCTACATTCTCCTCTCGGTCTAGGAGCAGGTCACACAGGAAGGACACCAACTTGGAGAAAGAGGGGCGGTTAGCGGGATCCAGGGCCCAACACTTATGCATCATCCCATACCTGCAGAAGAACATACACAACACTACTGACGTAATAAAAGCAAAAGTTATATTTAAAAGTCCGGAATAGCTAAAGTTTCAAAACAGAACAGAAATAGGTTATTATTTTTGATTTTTACTGATGTATTAATGTGATTCTGTCTTTATTTGAATCCTAAAATAATAGTTTTCTTAAAACAACCTAGTACATTTATGAAACATTTAAGATGAGACTTGCACAGTTTCGCTGGCATAGTATGGACACTCCATCTTAAATCCTCTCTCAATCATTGAATAGAACATATGATCCACCTTTATGCCCGGGTATGGCGTGACACCTGCGACAAACATCATTGAGACGTTAGAACTGATTGTTTATCTTTTGAATGTGCTGCTCACAATGAGTTAATGTTTGTGAAAGTTACCGAGTGAGAAGATCTCCCAGAGCAGAATGCCATAAGCCCAGACATCGCTCTTCATGGTGTACATTCCCTGGAAGATGCTCTCAGGAGCCATCCACTTTACTGGCAAACGCACCTGTGAGGCAGCAGAGCTCAGTCACCCACCCACAGTAATTAACATAAGAGTCAGTGAATAATATAAAATGAAAAAGTATCATCCAACATACGTTTCCTCTCACGACGTAGTTGGAGTCGTTGTCGATGTCCCGGGCGAGTCCAAAGTCACCGATTTTCACCTGCCTGCCGTTTGTCACTAAGACATTTCGAGCTGCCAGGTCCCGATGGATACACTGCAGACAAAAGGAGCAGTCGTCAGCATATGTTTTGTGTATTCATTTTGATATGCAATTTTATTTTAGTTATATTTAAATAATTTCCCTCGAACTGTGCGGTTTATAAAATTCCAAATCTCCCAAATATAGATATATTATGACAACATGCAAAGAACTAAGAAACTAACACAGGTGTTCCAGGTTTGGTCTGCCAATATAGGTCTAAATTAATCATCAACACAGAGGAACAAAAAAGACTAAATGTGTTTCTGCAGAGAGGCTGGGTGACAGATGTTTGTCTGGTGTTTGTCGCCTACATTCTTGGAGGAGAGGAACTCCATGCCTCTTGCCACTTGGAAGGCAAAGCTCAGCAGGTCATCAAAGGTCAGGGCTTCCAGGTCTTCCGTCTGCTCGTCTGGGGTTTCAAAGCTCTCTGGGTCTGCAGATAAATTGTGTTCAACCACCATTTCTGAATTTCACAGTAGTGTGTCAACCTCTGTTCACACATACACCTTTTTTTAAACGTCTCTTTTTTCACCATGATAACGTGTATGCTCTGCTGGCTTTATATCACGTTTCTCACCTTCACAGCTGTCCACATTGTCAGAGTTGATGGTAAGGAGTGCGATGTCCTCCTGCCCCCTTGTGTTAGCGGTGTACATAGGCACGTAATTATCCACTGGTGCTTCCAGCGCACTGAGAAAAGACAAATGTAACACAACTGTAATGCCACACCAACTTTGCAGAGAATAATTTAAGAAATAAACAAACGGCAGCACTGATACAGAAACCTGTCTCACCTGGGGCATTTCCTGAGCTGCAGGTTGTGGTAGAGGCTTCTGAAACGGTCTTTGTCAAAAGCGTCGGTGACAGACTTGTGGTAACGTTCACAGTTGTTTTTCAAGTAATTCAGCAGGTCTCCATGACAGCAGTACTGGAAAATCAGGTATACTGGTCCTAGATGAGGGGAAATTAGGTTATTTTAAAACTTCTGTTTGACATTAATATACAGCATCAAATAATCAGAAACCAGGGCAGTAGGTCTCATCTGAAAGAGTTCAAGTTTGATGACTATTGTGCATGTGCGTGATCTGCTGCGTTAAACGCACCAGAGTCTGTGCATGCACCGAGCAGGTTGACAATGTTGGCATGGTGTCCAATGTGAGTTAGCATCTTGAGCTCTGACATCAAAGCCTCCTTCTCCATAGTCTGGTGTTTTTCTGCAGAGTCAAGTACAAGATTAGCACTTTTAGGTATAACCCTTTTAACGCTCTGCATTTCTCATGAAACAAATACCAACCTTTCAGCATCTTAACGGCCACCTTCTGCGAGACTCCAGGCTTTTTGATGCCATAAGCTGTAGCCTGGACCACCATGCCAAAAGCTCCGGAGCCCAGTTCTTTACCTGAGGAGGACAGAAAAACACTCAAAAGTCTGTTTTGTATATTAAATTGACTACGTTTATCAACACCTTGTCATGAAATATGAGGGGAAAAAGTGTTCACATTAAGTTAGTTTTTAGATTGAGCTTCTGCCATTAAAAAAAAACTAAAGACAAATGATTGTTAAACCAAAGAGTTGTGGCCTCTTAAAGGTGTCCTGTTGGGGCCCCTTCATATGTTTCACATATCTATCTGGTTAGAAGTTCCGGCAAAGAGACATTTCCTCTTTAAACGTGGTGTATTGCAGAGTTCAGACAACACTTTGAGGCCCAGAAAGGTAAAACTCTTCATAAAAAAATGAAAAGAGGAAAGTCTGAATATTTCACAGATAACACATTTATGTAGAAGAACTTTTTTTCCTCTTTTTCTGCTTCAGTCTTTTGCAAGCCCTAAAGTACGTCTTGCTACCATTTGAAGGGCTTCTTGTTCTTTGGTTTCGGAGGTCTGCTAGCAGCTAAATCAATAATTTTACATATATTTAAATGTTCTTTTAAACTTCTTCTTACTGACTGAGTGTAAAACTTTACATTATGTGTTGATGCATATATTTAACCCTGTAACTTGGTGTACTTCATACCCAGTTCAAGGTTCTCCCTGGGAAACTCCCATTTCCTGTCATACTCAAAGTCCTTGAAGTTGATGTAGATGTAATCATTATCACTGGGTCCAGTCATCTGGATCATCTGAAGCTGAGGCTGATATTGAGGTTTCTGCTGGAAACACAAAAGGTTTGGTGTCATGTCTTTGTGTGTGTTTGCATTTATATGTATGCTGATACACCTTATTTATATTTACCTTCTTTTTGACAAAATACGTGAGCACCATGATGGCGAGTGTCAAAGCCAGAGCCAGAACCACACATACTATCAGCAGGAAGGAGTTCTCCTCAGGTGGCTTACCTAAAGAACAAAACAAAACAATGTGAGCATGACAACTTTTAGATTTCTTTTCATCAAATATTTTCAGTAAATATATTCATTAGACTTGTTATTACCAATAGAGGACTGAGGTGGGATGATCATGTAATGGGTTTTGCACCAGGAGCCAACTGAGTTTGTCAGACAAAACCTGAATTGGTCTCCTTTTAACACGTCTTTGCTCACTGAGCTCTTAATCGTCTTGTTGCAGGAAACATCAGAGTCTGCGTTAAATGCATCTGGGACCTCATCCCAGGATGAGTCCGTTTCACAGCTGCAGTGAAAC